AGAGAGAGAGAGAGAGAGCGAGAGAGAGAGAGAGAGAGGGGGGGGGGGGGGGAGAAGAGAGGGAGAGAGGAAGAGAGAAAACACCATTTGGTGCAGAAATGGAAAGGATCGATTCAGTTGCTCCTTCAGGCTAGAGACACTTTTTGATCCTGTGACCTGTTTTGAGCTACAGTCTGTGTCGGAAAACTCGCGCCGAGCAAAGGATCACATTGGAGTGGTGCAAATGTAAATGTCATGGTTCCCCATCACCACACATAACTGCAGATGGAAAAAAGAAAAAAGAAAAACAGTCAGTTGAGCAATTTTTGGGGTCAGGTCGAACGCTCTCGGGGAGGGGGGGGGTGTGTTTGCAAACCTTCATAATGTTCATAATGAGGGCACGCTCAAGTCTGGTTTAGACCGTGTCCCAGAAAGATGCGACTCAATGTGTTGTGGCCATTCTGGCATTAGCCGGCGTGCAGCATACGACGGCGGAATATGAAAGAAGTGGCTCTAAAATACAAAGAAAAGCTCTCGAATGGAGCAAAGCACTGGAGTAAAGAAATGTCAGAGAAAAATCAATGGTGACGCACGTCCCTGATCAATATCAGAGAGGAATTTCTCTGACTCTATCCTGATTGAATTAAACCCCCCCAACAGCGTCACTTAATTTAAGGCCCCGATTGTTTTCCTGTCTTACTTAAGTGAACTCAAATTGCTTTGATACCATCTTGGATCTGAAGATACGGCGGGTGAGTGCGGGAGGAGGATCAGATGGGGTGAAGGACACCGGTCTTTATGGAGATAATATCCTCTCCTTAAAGAGACGCGTCCATCTAACCGCTCGTATCACAGGCCTTGAGATGCTGTCAGAGGTCAGGGTTTGGAAAGGCGCCACGGCCTGCTGGAGAATCTACTTTCGGTAATCAAACCGTATCACAATACCAACCATGCACAACAACCAGAGCATGCTTGTTTCCGTAGTGCACAGAGGGTGGAAACCAGCTGCATTGTGCAGAAAGTGACCTCGGGGGGGGTTTCAAGGATCAAAGGGTTGCACGTTCCTTTGGTGATAATCAAATTAAGTCTGCAAAGCTCTACATAAAACACACTTTCCAAATATAAATCCACAATCTCCCGTTTTTAAATAAAACCTACTCCAGTGTGCTGATCAGTAAACGCGTCAGTATGCTGCTCACACACTCCCCGAGACACAAATACTGTCCGAGGCTACAAACAGGTACATCAATTTGGAGCATGACAAGAAATTCCCTTTAGGTGACAACAAAATGTACATGCTATTAGATCAGCTGCAGTATAGTGTGATGAAAGAAATTGAAGCCAACAGATGAAAGCTCGGGGCCCTAAACAGGAGACTATAAAAATGTGCACTGCTCTTCTTTTATTATGTTACACTGCCATCCTTTGGACAAATACAGAACTGAGTGAATGTGGTCCGCACGGGACTGCAGGGAGAACGCAGACCATTAACACTATTTGATCTTATATTAAGTAGGGCTGCAACTAATGACTGCTTACATTATATTTGTAATGACTGAAGTAATTAATCAGACACCAAAACAGTTGTTTTTTGTTTCTGTCGATCGACTAATCAAGTAATCTATAATTGTTTAAGAACTTATCTAGATACTTATAGCGGTCAGTCCTTTGTTCAAAAATCTTTTTTTTTTTTTTTACAACATTTTAATCAAAACATTTTGTTTAGAGATAGTTTAATGGGACCTTGGCAGTGACAGGAGACATACCCAATGCTCAGAGAGAACAAAGTTAAGTGTGGCAATTGATAATAAATTATAATAAATTGCAAATCATACATAATTTTAAATGTGCAAACTTTTCACTATAACGTATATGAATACATCTATTATTTCATATCTTTATACCCAATAAATATTATTATTTATTATTGTTGTATTACTATTGTTATGATTAATGTTATTATTGTCGCTAATATAACCATTTGAATCATTATTGTCGTTTAGTCTACAACTATGAAACCAGTTTGCACAATGGTACACAAACCCACTACTCACGAGACAGTCGGTGTTTATGTGCACGAATATCTGCACGAGACAAACATCCTAACGTGATGCGCGTCAGCAAGGAGCGCACCCTGAATGACGTCAGCTGTGCTGCGTGCTTAAGTGAACGAGCAGCTGTGTGTACACGCGTACAGAGCAGACGGGCCTACAGCCGCAGAGCGATGGGAGGATTATAAGGAGCATCTTATACAGTGCATGGTAGCAGGTACGAGTCACGCGGTTATTGTGATATTCTCTCATTTGTATTGTGATAACTGTGCGATAGTCGGGCGATGCTTGGTGTCCGCGCAGTGCAGTGAGTCAGGCGGTGTGTTCGTTGTGGCGCGGCGGAGCATGTATTGTGGTTATATCCGTATTTGTCTATATGCGCTGGTTTATTCGCATATAATTGCACATTCATCACGGTGCATTTCTTTGTTATCGAGGTGCAGGCGTGTATTACATCACACCGTATAACCCAGCACATTAAAATGAGTCGTGACGCGTATGTTTAAAAAAAAAAAAAAAAAAAAAAAAAAAAAAAAAGAAGATTTATTCATGTCGTCCCTGATGGACAGCAGGTGATGCGCTTCTGGAAAACATGTGGTGGTGTCAACGTTTTATAAAATCTTCCATCTAAAGCTACAAAATTACATGAAAATGTTCAGATTCATGTTTGAATGCAGCTGGGAGGGAAAAGACCTCAGTCACACCTTATTACGACTTATAGAAACACATCAGTCACACCTT